AGTACCAAGCTGATTTTAATATTACAGCTTTGGAATAGAGTTTGAAGTCTGGTAGATTGATACCTCCCATTTTGTTTTTATTGCCTAGAATTGTTTTTGCTATGCGAGGTCTTCTCTGGTTCCATACGAAGCATAAAATTAATTTTTCTACATCTGTGAAGAATTATGTTGGTATTTTAAAAGGGATTGCATTTCCATTTATTTAGGTATTCTCTATTATTGTTATTATTGTGAGCAACAGTTGTCAGTTCTCATCATATGAGTCTTTACTAAGGTTTTCCTAAGGTTCTTAGGCCTTTTGTCCTTTTGGATACTATTGTAAATTTAACTATTTCCTTGATTTAATTTTCAGATTGTTCACTGTTGGTGTATAGAGACACATCTTAATTTTGCATTGATCTTGTACCCTGAAATATTGCTGAATTCATTTATTGGCTCTAGTTATTTTCCTTGTGGATTTTATGGACTTTTATTCATATAGTATCATGTTATCTTCAAATAGACTTAGTCTTACTCCTCCTTTCCTTTCTAAATGCCTTTTCTTTTTCTTGCCTAATTGCTACGTCTAGGATTTTAGTACTATATTGAATAGAGGTGGTGAAAGTTAACATACTTGGGGTTATTTTCTCTGGGTAATGGGTAGAGGCTTGAAACATTTGAGGGAGAAGCCTAGAAGCCTAGATTGCCATGCCTGGAGTGTTAAAGGCAATTCTAGTGTAGGCTCAAAAGTAGACAAGAGTTTGTACAGAGAGCCTAACTCATCTTAGAGATTATTTAAGAAGTATTTTTCAGAATATTGGTAGAAAAAGGAATGTTAAAGGCCGTTCTGATGAGGCGACAGATAGAAATGAGGGACAAGTTATGGAAAACTGGAATAAAGGTTTTCCTTATTACAAAGTTGCAAAGGAGTTTGCAGAATTGTGTTCATGCCCTAAGGCTTTATGTAATATGGATTTTATGAGCAATTAGTTAGGATATCTGGCAGAAGGGATACTGAAACAGCAAGCATTCAGGGTGCTGGATGGCTTCTTTTGGCCACTTAGAGTAGAATGAGAGAAGAGAGATATTTTCAAGCTAGAATTTATTGATAAGGTAAACATATGTACACCCATAATTTGCTGAAATAAAAAAAAGAACTTTTATAAGTAACATCATTTTGAAAAATTTGAAACAACATAAATGAGTAATGATAGTAACGATGGTAAAAGTATAATATATCCATAAAATTGAATGTTTTCCCTTTTGAAAAAAAAAAAGGTAAACAGTGTCAAAATTTGGGAAATTTCCAGCCTGGCCAAGTAAAGAGTGCAAAGGCACCTTTATGAGAGTAAACCAAGGGAGTGGCCAAGCAATCATTTCCTAAAAAAGATTAGTATGTATAGAAAGGGGGAAGATGCTATCGATCAAGAGAGTAGGAGGATGACCCCAAAGGCATTTCAGAGATCTTCAAACCAAGCTGGGACCTGTAGGACAACATTTCCAGAGAAGTGCCAGAGGACCTCAGTATTTGTTGCTCTTCACAATGTGGGGACTCTGCACCCTGAATATAGGATTAGCATTCCAGTCATTTCTCAAGAGTAGATTTGTTATCAAAGCAAATTGGGCCCCCTCTTGCTCAGTTGCTCTAGCCCTCTCTTGCCCTTCTACCTTGTGGGGTGGGATGACAGAGCCTGAAGAGCAAAACCAAAGGTCAGTTTCATGTTTTTGGACTTTACAGCCTCTGGAACCATGAGAAATAAACAACTGTTTTAAATAAAGCACTCAGTCTTCTGTATTCTTTTATACAACACAAAATAGATGAAGGAAGGGCACCAATGCACTTTTGATTATAGTTTTGGGGGAAAGAAATATGCTGCATGGCTCACCTAGAGGCAAATAGTCTCCATAATGACATTTATAGGCATGCCAGGGATAGGGAGTAGGAAATGAAATTTCAGTCACCTGATCTACAGTTTCTACAGTGCCATACAGTAGTTTTGCATAGTAATAAATGCTTCAGGTTATGTGTTGTATAACCTTATAACAATGTGAGTTATTTTAAATTCATTGTAATTAAATATTCTGGTAAATAATTGCTCAGATAACTTTATCAAATGTTTCCTAGGAAAAGCACAACTCACAGTCTGAGTTCACTATGGAAAACTTGGAGAGCACAGTATCTGATTTATTTTCTGCTGGGACACAGACAACAAGCACCACTCTGAGATATGGACTTCTGATCCTGCTTAAGCACCCAGAGGTCACAGGTATGAGCATAGATGATGAGTATAGTGAAGTGCAGAAACAATGCTCAGTAGATGTTGCTAGGGTCCTCCATCTTTTGCATACTCCAGAAAGAGGAAAGCTCTAGAAAAAGATACTTGTATTTGCCATCTTTGTAGAATATTCTCTCCAAGTGTTTAGCAGAGTGAATGAAATAAAAACTTGTACCCCAAGTTACAGAGTCATGGAATTTTTGGAACACCAGGATAAAATAGAAAAGCATAAAATCATTCAGAGAATTCTATTAGGTCATGTATAAAGGAATAGGTTCAGAAATTATCAGAATCTTCAATATTATTTTGCATATTAAAAGAAAAGAGTATGTTCAAACATGTGTGATTGCCACAAACTTTATAGTCTATTTTCTCTTTCTCCAATGCTGGAGGCTGAGCTCCATCTAAAAATTAATATTTGCAACTAATTCAGAGGACATCATGAGCTCCAGCTGTCAGGACAGCTCATGTAGGAGAATGAGAGTGTCATGGAGGCTGCAGCACTTCAGAATGGGCTTGGTGGATAAGACATGTTGAGGGGAGACTCCAAGAGCAAGGGAGAAGTGATCGATAGTCTGTGATTTCTCAATAATTGGGAAATAATTAGTTGGAGTTTGAAACATCCACGTGAGCATTTGAAAGTAATTCTAACTTGAGCTATAGAAATTATGAATTCAAGTAAAAAGACATTTTTACGCCCTAGAAAGTACTAAAAATATAGTGTAATCCTAGTTGTCTTAGCAGGGAAGAATATTTATGTTGTCAGAATGATGTAAATAATGAATACTGATATAAGCAGAAATTGTGGTCTAAATATATTCTGTTAAATAGAGTCACAGGAATTGTGTGTGTGCAGATGTGTATCTGTGTGTGTGTGTGTGTCTATATATGGTGTGGTCATGGAGATTAAAATTCTCATCTCCTATACCAGGAAATCTTTAAATATTATTTAAGAATGGTTATGGAAGAAATAGAAATATTATTTAGAAATATTAACATTAAGTTAGAAGAAGCTGCTAGAATGCTCAAAGTGGCCACATGTGAGAAGTGGGAAGATAAAAAGAGTACCATTCTAAATTCCACATGCATGCACACACGCAGACACACAGAAAAAACACATACACATAGAAGTGTTATATTGAGTGGAAAAAGCCAGACTCCAAAGACGATATATGCTATGCTCCCATTTTGTGACATGTAGGAAAACAAAACTGTAGTGACAGGATGCAGATCAATGGTTGCCTGAAGCCAGGAAGTTGAGAGGGGCCAAAGGAAATTTTTTGGGGCGATGAAAATATTCCATATCTTGACTATGGTAGTAGTTACAAGATTGTCTTGAGTTTGTTAAAACTCATCAAACTATACAACTAAAATGGGTGACTTTTTGTATGTAAGTTAGACTTCAATAACTATCATTTTAAAACTCAAAAAAAAAACCCAAACACATACACATATATAGATCCATTCCAATGTATGTTTAAACCCCATACATTATTTTGTCATTAATGTGTTATTTATTTTATGTTTTTCTTGACTTAATTATTTCGTGTTTATCTTTTGAAATATCTTATATTTTTTATATTATAGATAAAATAAATGTGGAGCAACATACATTCTATGTTTAGTATTTGTTTAAGTTGTCCTGGATGCTAAGGTATAGGTATGTACTAATGCATTGTGAGGCCTAGTTTGCAGGAGAGAGGTATGTGTATATATTATGGCAACTCTCATTATAAGTCTAGCGTACATATGTGCATATAACTCATGTACATACTGCTGATGAGACATCTTCCTCATGCTTCATGTAATCTATAATTGATATAACAAATGTGCCATTTTTCTCTTTTTCCATCACTTCTTGCTTGTGTCTTACCAGCTAAAGTCCAAGAAGAGATTGACCGTGTGATTGGCAGACATCGGAGCCCCTGCATGCAAGACAGGAGCCACATGCCCTACACGGATGCCGTGGTGCATGAGATCCAGAGATACATTGACCTGGTCCCCAATAGTTTGCCCCATGCAGTGACCCGTGACATTAAATTCAGAAACTACCTGATCCCCAAGGTAAACTGTTAGTCCTACACCGTACCTCAGTACTCTTCAAATCCCCAAATTCATGGAATGGTTCCAATCCTCTACCAACACAAGATGAAAAGCGCAAAATTCATACATGTGGCAGCTTTATGGACTTTGTGCTCTTTTGTTTGGGTTTATAAAGCTTTATAAAAAATCCTGGTTCCTGGTAGTGTGTGTCTTACAAGTTGGTTCTGCCTCTTTAATATTGTTTTGGCTGCTCTTAAATGTTTACACTCTCAAATGGATGTTAAAAGTATCACTTTGTCAATTACCCAAATGACTCTTCTGGGATTTTTAACACAGTAATATTAAATCTATAGTTCAGTTTGGAAATAATTAGCATCTGGATGCCTAACATCTTTCAATTTATGCATATGGTCATGCTCCCAATCTATTTGGGCTTTCTTCTATTTTTCTCAGTAATGTGTTTTCGGTGCTGTGGTTTCCAAATCTTTGGCCAGATTTTTCCTAAATAATTAGTACTTTGTTCCTGCTATAAACTTTTAAAATGCCCCTTTCCTTTCTTTCTATCTGCTATCTGGAAATATAATTGGTTTTTATCATTCTGATGCCCTCATATGTAGTAACCCTGCTAAGTTGATTAATCATTGCTAATAATTTGTTGGTAGAGTCATCTGGAATTTCCATGTACATTATCCTTCTGTTTGGGTTATTATTTGTTTTATTTTTATTTTCCAGTTCTTGCATCCTTAATTTCTCTTAATTGTATTATTAACTGGTCAGGATTACGGGATAGTGTTGAAGAGAACTGGTGACTGACAGTGGGCATCCCTGTTTCATTTCTGATCTGTAGGAAGGGATGGAGGTTTAGTATTTTATCACTGGGAATGCTGCTTTAAGTAGATTTGGGTATATATTCTTTATGACATTAGGAAATTTTGCTCCCTTCTCTTATTTTTGTATAATTTTGTCATGAATGTGTGGAGAATTTTATCGAATGGTCTCGGCATCTCTTGGTTTGATTATATGTTGGCCTCATTTTCCTCACTAAATATGCATAAGTCTATACACATAGCTGGATTTGAACTCCTCCATATTATACAGGGACTTTGTATTTGTATTCATAAGGCCTTTTTGTCTGTAATCTTTTCTTCACAATTCCTTTTGTCAGAGTTTTGGTATCAAGATTATTGTTTCGTATAAAAGTAGGCGAGAAATGTTACCTAATGTGGGTCTGTTTTTATGACCTTCTCCTCCCCCCACTTTTCTTCTCCTGCCCACTTAGATGTATCATTGAAATGTCTAACAATTTCTGGCTAAATACTAGATGTTATATATGAAAGAATGCAGAATTTGGGACGATGTTTATCTTCTTTCAGAAAGAGAGCATTCTCCTCCCATGGCAGTCATAATGCTGTAACACCTCCTCTCCTGACTCCGAGGCGGACATGACGTGAACAGAGTCAATAATTAACTACAACCATGGGTGTACTTTTCTGATGTTATCCCACCTCTGGATCTTGAGACCAATTTTTTTTTTCTTAGCAGCTATACAATGCCTTTTCACATGGTTTTCATATTCATCCAGATATTCTAGTTGCTATGCTGCAGGCTACTCTATTCCACTTGACCCAGGAGATAGAATCATTAAAATTTAAAATTAGATAACTAAATATTGTATTTTCATGTGGCAAATATAAATGAGATTGGTAAGGTTGCAAATACTTACATCATTTCTTGGAGAAGACAGAACTGATAACTTTACCACGAGGTTATGGAGCTCTCCCTGAGGTGACTGAGTGGGTACAAGGATTAGCATTTCAGCTCATTCTGTTTTCACCAACAACATAACTAAAAGAATTTGCTTCTCACTATTCAGGTCTGAGGGTAATAGTAACGAAACTTGCTCTCCTGTAGCTATCTACATGGGAAATAGACTGAGGAATCAGGGATATCCAGTTCCCCACCCCCATCCACTGCATCAGCTTGGGGATCTGCCTCTGGGGAGCGTTGCATCTGCTGAGATCACTCATTCACCAGGCTGTAGGGCAGCTCATGCTATGCCTGCTGAGTTTTGAATCTAGAGACCCCAGAGCCCGAGGAATGATCCATTCATTCCCTTCTGTGTGGGACAGGCTAGTATAGAAATATGCAGTTGTTTGGCTAATTCCATCCTCTTACAAGTGAGATAAATGGGCTTTTTTGCCACAGGCTAGAGACACTAATCTAGGTGGAGATAATGGTCTAAGATAGGAGTTGGCCAACTTTTTCTGTAATGGCCACATAGTAAATATTTTAGACATTTCAGCACATAGGTTTTCTGCTGCACTACTGAGCTCTCCCAGTGTGGCATGGGGTTAGTCACAGACAATATATGAAAGAATGAGGAAGGTGCCAATTTTTATGGAGAATGAAATTTAAATTTCATATATTTTTCATATGTCAAAAATGTTATTCTTTGACATTTGTAAAAACATTCTTACTGATGGGCTAAGCCAAAATTGGAGGTAGGTTGAATTCATGCATGGTCTGCTGTTTGTTTGTGCCCAGTGGAAAAACAATTCTGTGCAGTAGAAATCTATGCAATGATGTGAGGCTGATTGTGCTTTTGTGACCCATATCTGAAGAATATTTGCCACCAAATGGCTCAGAGATTTACCCTTATCTTTTTACAGATGTTTTATTGTTTTAGCACTTCTATTTAGATAAAGGCACATTTCAAATTAATTTTCATTTATGCTGTGGCATAGTAATGGTTGTGCTTCAATTTTTTCCATGTGAATATCCAGGTGTTTGAGTATCATTTGTTGAAAGTATGTCTGCTTTTATATCTTTAAGAAACATTTTCATATATTATTTGTTTAAACCTTCGGGAAAATAATTTTAAAAATGAAATTA